CGACCGGATGCATCGCACTCTACCTCRAACGGTTGAGAAAAATCTGGCAACATCAATAACGGGGGATTAATCATTACTTGCTTCAATTGCTCGAAGGCCCTTGAAGCGTCATATCCCCAAACAAACCCATCCTTCATAGTGAGCTTAGTCAATGGCTTCGCAATCTTTCCGTAACCAGCAATGAATTTCCGGTAATATCCGGTCAACCCCAAAAATCCACGTACTCCTTTAACATTTTTAGGGACCGGCCATTCCATAATACTTTTGATTTTATTCGGGTCTACAGATACTCCCAAATCAGAAATAACGTGCCCCAAGTACTCCACTTGTTGCGTTGCAAACACACACTTCTCTCTATTTGCCACAAACTGATGGTTTTGTAGAATTTCTAAAATCGTGCGTAAATGATCAAGGTGTTCCTTCCAGCCCTTACTATAGACTAAGATATCGTCAAAAAAACTAAGACAAAGTGTCTAAGATAAGGTCGAAAAACCTAATTCATCGTAGACTGAAAAGTAGCAGGGGCATTCATCAAGCCGAAGGGCATAACCAGAAACTCATAGTGGCCGTCGTGTGTTCGAAACGCGGTTTTACCGATATCCTCCTCCTTTACCCTTATTTGATGGTATCCAGACTTCAAATCTAGTTTAGAAAAATACATAGCTCCATTTAACTCATCCAATAACTCCTCAACCACAGGAATGGGATACTTATCAGGGACAGTTGCCTTGTTAAGTTCCCTGTAGCCAACACACATTCTCCAGGTACCATCTTTTTTTTTAACAAGGATCACGGGACTTGAAAAAGCACTCGAACTCTGCCGAATGATCCCCTGATGTAGCATTTTTTGCACTTGTCTTTCGATTTCATCCTTGTGGTGGTGTGGATAACGATATGGGCGTACACTAATCGGACCTCCAGTCCCTCGCAACTCGATGCTATGCACCGTTTCCCGCCGTGGAGGTAAACCCGACACCTCTCGAAATACACCACTGTATTGTTCCAGCATCATATCGAGTTCTTGTTGTTGCTGCTTATTTAATTTATGTACACCCGTAGACGTATCGGTGCCTTCTCTAGTCATTATAATACTTTGAAATGATGTTGTCGCGGCCCGTTTCCCACTCCACAGGTTTCTCGAATCATTTGCCTTGCCACCGGACAAAGTTATCTCCTCTCCCCCCGCAAGGAAACTGATAACCCTTTCCTTCCAATCGAAAGTAACCTTCCCGAGTCTTTCAAGCCACGATACCCCCAAAATCAAGTCGACATCACCCAAATCTAATACGTAGGTATCCACCACCGTTCTGAATTTTCCAAATAACAACTCCACCTCCTTACATCCCCCCTGCGTTAAAACACGGTGACCATCCCCTAACCGAACCCCTAAATTTTTATAAGGGTCTATTGTTAATTCCAGTGCGGCTGCTACCTGAGGAGACACAAAATTATGACTAGCTCCACTATCAATTAAAACTTCTAGTCAATCCATAACCAGTTTTTACGAACGACCCAACTCCACCAGTTCGTCCTCCGTTCCAAAGTCGTGTGGATACACTCCTGGGTATTATAGCGCCTTGCAGTTCCGACTCTACATCTCGTGCGATCTTCATTACTTGAACACGATTTATAGGGTTGAAAGTGCGAACCCTCAACCTTATATCAGATCGAAGCCCTCCAACAAAATAACCAAGGTATTGCTCTTCTGGAAGACGACTTACCTGAGACGATATATACTCGAACTCGGTGATGAATTCGTCTACCGATCCCGTTTGCATGAGGTCTTTCAATTCCTCAAAGGGATTATCGCTTTGTCTTCCCCCGTACCGTTCAATCAAAGCTTGTTTGAATTCCTTCCATGTGAGGTTCTCTTCAGTTGCACTCAACAAGTTAACAGTGAATTGTTGCCCGTCCATACTCAGTTTTGCCAACTTCACCTTAATATTTTCAGGAGTATTTTGCACCTCAAAATAAATCTCTGCTCTAGTAATCCACCCTACTGGATCTTCCCCATCGGACATAGGCAATTCCACCTTCTTCACGGCCATACGGAATTCTGTCAATCGATCATCCCCCTTGTTAACAACCGGCGGTATCGCTTGTGGTGGTCGTTCCAGCAGCTTGACTAAATCTGCTAACATCGTCTCCCTGAATTCAGCCAACGAGCGCTGAATGTTTTCTTCCATCATCCCTATTGCTTCCTCCAACGCCTCCACTCGATCACCCACATTGGTTGGCTTTGGTGGCATCTTCAGATACGCTGGTTCCCCTCGAATAATCCGGCAGGTCAGACCAATTTAATAGAAACAGAAAAATTGAGAAGGCAAGCTGAATGATTAAAAGAGGAAAATGAGCTGAAGCTCTACAATGAACAAGGAAAATTAACCAGAGTCTAGGACTCCTCTCCAGAGAGTTCTCTCCTAACAAAATAGACAACAAATAACATAATGATTCTTATTTCCTCCCCTCCACTACTTTTAACTTTCTCCCTAACGACCCTTCTCCTTCTTCTCTCTCCTCGTGTGCACTTTCTATATTATGGACTTTTTACCCAACTGAGAAATTATGGGCTCATGGGCTTYAGCATCTGGATTCCCAACAATTAACCTCTCTTCCAACCTTACTCTGTTAATTAATTCAATCAGGTATTCAGTTGTGTTTAAAATTAGTTGATTATAAACCAGGCCTTCACCTGTTTTGTGTACTATTGTAACAGCTACAAGTAATACAGATTCCCATGGACAGTTTTGAAAATTAATTTACTTAAATATGAAATATGTAAAATTTATTTCTAATTTTAATTGGCTTACAGCTTACTCAATTATTTTGTAGTTTGATGGAGAAATCAGGAAGCCAGGTACAAATGATCACATTTCRATAGAACCTCATTGTTTAAAGAGTAACAAAATTATATATTCCAATTTTACGGAGARGGAATTTAAGAAAATAAAAAGGTTGTAAGTTGTAACCTAAAGGAGGTCCTTGCATCCTGGAAAATACAAGCCGCTTAATGTGATTGAAAACACGACTGAAATGAAGAAAAATCTATGGGCCAGCCTCCTCATTTTACAATTGTGGATATTGTACATGGATCCTAACCAAGAATGGCTTTGAGCTTCGTCTTCTGTTCGTCTGTTAGTGATGTAGGGAAAAGAACTTCAAAAGTAACATACAGATCACCCTTCTTATTGCTAAAATGCAACGGCATCCCTTCACCTTTGAACTTCCTCACCTCCTTTGGTTTTGTAATTCCCTATTGCAAGCCACAAATAAAAGATAMTAAATTAAACCCACCTTGGCTTTTTCTCTATCATATTCTTTTGGGTTTTTGGTTTTGTCAAATAAAATATATTATTTCCATTACGTGCTTTTAGATGTTTGTAAATAAATAAAACACGTAGAAACGCAAAAGACAAACAAAACTACTTCTTCAATAATAAAAGTGAAAAGCAAGAGTGCTCACCTTTGTGCCAATATCTACTAGATGTTCATCAAGGTGTGTAACAGTCTTCTCAAAGCCAACAAGTGCTTGTGCCTGAAAAATGCAACTGCACATGTAAGTTAAACCACAAAAAGRAATACAAGAGTTACCCATCAGTATCAATTTATCATGCCACCATAAGTTTACACTAAAATTGATTAATTTCACTTCACCTTCTTATAAGAGGTGATCATGTGTGTCTGATTTTAAGCAACAATACACGTTCATTTGCACAACTCACCTTTYAGTCCAGTCAAGGCAGAAAAGAAAAAAAGAAAGATGAACAGGCACATTTAAAAACCAGACAAAGCAGCATGGCCAGCATTGTAACTAGCTAAATACAYCATTCAACTAAAACATCTTGAATTTGAAGATGGACTTGCCTGCCTGGACTTCATTTCAGTAAGAACAACTCATTTTGAATTCAATGAAAATTCTTCTTTTTTCATTGCATGAGACAAGACAACCTCATGAGACATTTGCGATAGATAGCCAGGTGCTCCAGTTAAAAGTGCTAGCAAAGTTGTGCATTTTCAGCAAAAAGGTGAGACAGACAAAAAAAAACTATGTTCTCTTTATAAAATACACACGTAGCGATCATGTTTAGTTATCAGCATTCAGATGCAAATAATTGCTACAGAAGAAGATATAAGAGAAACATTACCAAAGTTATTGTAGCAGTTGTGTAAAGGTTGCTGCCTTCCCTCCTAAACCTGTCATGTGTTGCCGTGCGAATGCGGAACTGCCCAAAATTTGAGATTTACCATCAACAATAGAAAACGCTTCAACACACTTRCTATAATATTAAGTTATCAATAATAACAAACTAACCTTCAGATCTCCAGCTTCACCATCTATAATTGGTTCACCCTCCTCATAGAACACCACTTCCTGGGACGAAGTAAAAGGGCACAATCGTTAGACATGTTTTGGACAGTCGAAACCAGTAAATGCATACTTCATAACCATGAGTATATTATTTRAATGGTACATCATGGAGAAAATAAACTAGGAACACCTGCACGAATTTGAAAGGAGAAGAAMGAGGAAATGCAAAGAGGAAGAGCTTTTTCCCTTTAAACCGAGTGAAATTGTTATGTGAAAGCTATCAATCTAAAACAATCAAAATTATATCTGGTTATAGTCCTTGGTTCTTTCATTTGTATTACCACATGAACTATCAAAAGCAAAGGCACAAAGCATAAAAAAACATTATAACTCTAAGACACTAAAAGCTTACCTGCCCATCTTGCATTCCTTTCTCAATATCCACGGTGATAAAATTCCCTTCCCTTTCATACCTTACATTAGGGCACTGCTCGCAGACCTGAAGAGCATAGGAAGCATATATAATAGGCAATCGAATTAGCGCAACCATAATGAATATATAGTGATATAGACTTAGGAAATCRACAAGGTGTAAGATGTTGGATAGTAAATCTTCACAAGAAAGCATTTAACAGATGGTCAGAGACGGCATACCTGCTCTGTCATCTGTTGGAACATCCCTGGACCGATTTGCCTGTGATAAACCTCGTTCCGACAGTTACAGCGTCTTTTTCCTGGAGCAGGCTTTAGGATGTTCTTCTCCCTCCAAACCTGGTTATATTCAACCATAATTCACACAAGCACAGCAAAAAGMAGAAAAAATTAGCATGCACTAGACCAACATGCAAACCATCACCAGGTATGAATGCRCAAGAAAATTGTTTGCCTAAGCAAGTGGTTTCATTCACGCACACACAAAGTTACCAACACTGTATTAAGAACAGTAACGGTGATATAAGGTGTAAAGAAAGGGATCTGACTGCTTTACATAGATACCCTGCAACCAATTTGATGTTGTGTGGTATATTAATGGTTGAATAAGAGGYACCAATTTTCTAATTCAGTTGATGAATTTTTCCTACCTTTAGTGATCCTCCCATGTACAAATCTTCCAATGTTGCATCCAAGTCAACAATTACATCATCACCTTTTGCCACTCGCTCCTCCTCTTCKTGATCTCCTCCACCACCAAAAAATCTGCAAAATACTTCAAGTAGTCAGTAGACACACCCAAAAGAGGCTGATTTTTTATAAGTACCAAATTTATACATTTTTATGTCAAAGTTACCTTGGAATTAATATTAAGTAGATGCTTAAAAAGGTCCAATTTAATTTAAGTTGATTTTTAACTTTATGGGGCTATTTAAGTTGAAAAAGGAAAATAAATTGATTATTTGTTTTTGGTTCCAAACAGCAGCCCTGCTGCAGCCAAACAGCTGTATCCTAACAGCAACATTATCCATACAGAACAGCTGCTGCATCCAAGTGTATCCAAACAGCTGCTGTATCCAAACAGCAACTCAGCTGCAAAGCCCGTGAAGAAGCCCAACAGCAGCAGCCTTGGGCTGCTGCCCAACACCAGCAGCAGAAAAAAAAAAAGTGGAGATCGTGGCAGAAGTCRATAGAGAGGAACGTGGGCAGGGGGTCTGTGGGGGGATTGAAAAGAAACAGAAATCAACCGGGAGAAGCTGTAGATGGACAGAGAGCTTGAAGGGGACAGAAATTGAGAGAGACCAGAACCTGTCAAATGTCAATATTAGCAGAGAGGGCAGAACCCGGCCAAAACCAGGTTCGAACGAGAGAGAAGCAGWTAAYGATCAGGACAGAAACAGAAGTCGATAGAGGGACCAGAGAGAAATTGATCAGAAACAGAAACTGCGAAGAAACTGAAATCGATTTCCAGATTTTAGAGTCGAATTTGGATYTCTCAAATTAGGGTTCTTCATACTCTACTGCTTTCTACCATCTGTAAGTTCAATTTCTGTTTCAAAATAATATTATGAGTTGCTAATTTTCTGTTTCAAGTGATGGGATTATAGCTAATTTGCATTGAATTTTGTTAAGACTTGTKTAACATTGAAACTTAATTGAATTTTATTTGCGCAATTCTTGTTCAGAACCGTTCTTCATTTTGTCGACACTCACGACCGGTCTAAAATCTATTCATAAAAATGTTTTTATACAAGTCAATGATACATGATTTGACAAAGAACCAGTTATACTCATCACTAGAATTTATTCATTATTATTTAAAGTTCTCAATTTAATTTGCATATTTAGGCCATTTATCAATCTTCCAACCCCCACCCCTTATATAATGTTTTTATTGTTAATGAAATYGCACGTGGTTACGTCTTGGGCTTAMGGTTAACACGAGTCCCAGAGGAGACGRCCCTACTTCACTATAACAAGTTGTGTTTTAGAGATAAYATGCTTATTTTATTCTAAATTCTATTATTTGCCGGACTYGATACCCGTCAATTTTCCACCTAGAAACTAGTAGCTTCTCGACAAAAAGAGAAAAGGATCAACAGCTGTTCTCAGGTTTACTAATGGCAGGTATTGAAGAAAAGTCATAATGYTGTTTCATTGGAAATATTAGAAGAGGGGCATTGAATAGGAAGCTATCAAAATGCAACATCAGTTGCAATATTACTTCTTTGCAACTGCAAAAGCGGCAAAATGTCTTGAATCGAAGAAATTTAACACTAAGCCAGCAAAAAGATTCCCAAAGAGACCTATAGTGCCATGAAAACTACTCTCTAAATCGAAATGTGTAAGATGCACCCTTTACGTGACATGTGTGATACCTAAACAGTTGGAGAACCGAGAACTATCAAGAAATAACAAGTAAAGACAACTTATAGGACCAAAATAAAATTTTATTAAGGTAGTCTCTCCAACACTACAGAAGCATATGCACTTAATCCCTRATATTGAATTGGTTTTGATGTGAATTTTCTCAAAAGAAAAGGTGCCATTGCAAGCAGCGTAGGAGTCGGATGTCTTGGTGTAWTCTAGTTAAGAAATTATACTCAATTGTTGAAAAGGGTATTTTATTTTTTCTACTCTTCCAGGTCATCCTAAAGTATTATTAATGTTCTCTTTTTCCCATAACATCTTGTAACATTTGACTTAAGAAATTAGTTTATTAAAAGTAACTATTACATGCCTAAAGGGCCGTTTGATAAGCTCTTAWCGTTTGATGATTAAAAACGCCATTGCTGATTCAGTCAGCATGTTTCCCCTCCCTAAAATACTCTACAAGGATATGATAGATTGAGTAATCTTATGGACCATAACCGATTATGTGATGACGACAATGGACAAATAGATAAATTTAGCTCCTCTGTTCATARTAGATTCTATGACTAGTTTTTAACACTAATAAAGTTCTGTGTAATCATCTTTAATACAAATACATCTTTAAAACTCCTATTCACCAAACAAAATGCACATTCTACAAGATATAACGTTTCCTTAATGGCAACCCACCAGCCACTATTAAAACTAAGTCTGGGTGGCACCAMGCGAAGTCTCTGCAAGTTGCAATTGATGATGCTGTAAATGTATATCGAGTACATGGTTCACCTAAAATATTTTCAGTGGTCTATGAAAAGCCAGAATGGTAATTTATGTTATAGTTACGGGAATTTTGCTTCACAGGCTACTCAAATAATGTTCTACACCATCGAGTACCAACATATGCAAAGTATTTGCACAGTACAGGCAAGTTTCCTATCAGAAAATGGAACATATATCAAAATCTTACGATTTGAATATGTCTTGAATATCCATTCCTCCTCCCCCTCCGCCACCAGCAGCATGCTGTTTGAGACCTTCTTCGCCATATCTGTCATAGATACTCCTCTTCTCACTGTCTGATAACACTTCATAAGCTGAAAATGATGGAAACAAACGTTAAGTTTCAAAATACAAAATTAGGAGGAACAGAAAGCTGTAAAAACATGCAAGTACCATTGTTAATTTCGGCAAATTTTTTGTTAGCGTCTTCGTTTCCTTGGTTCTTGTCAGGATGATATTTCAAGGCGAGCTTTCTATAGGAGCGTTTAATCTGATCGTCCGACGCACCTTTGGGAACCTGAAGTATATCATAGTAACTCTTCCTGTAGAGATCAATCGTTTAAACCATAAATAYATAGACGGGAATAAAAATGGAAGTAGAAAAAGAAATGGACACTTACGCGGCAGTAGCAATGAGTAAGATTGATAAATAGGTTAAAAAGATAAATCTGGATCTGCAATGCGCCATTAAGGAGACTGCGTTTCAAAGCTCCGGATGGAGAGATTGTAGAATCACAAGCAACGGAGGAAAGAATGCAGAGAGACAATCATACTGCGATCATAAAACAAACACGTCTGATCCCACCGCATACAAGGAGGAAGACTAGTTTAGCGGCCTTTTGGGACGTGGACTYGAGAAAATCTAACCAATGAGAGAGAGCTTCCACGTATGAAAGCCAATAGCAACGTGCCACGTATAACATTGTTTTATGCCTACGCGCGTTACGCACGGGTACGGCACGGCACGGCACGGCAGGTCAGGAAGGAAAGCCCAAACAATGAGTGGTTTGTGAAAGCCCAATCCAACCATCAAGCCCGTTATGTTTTGTAATAATATTGAATATTTTATTTTTTGGCTTTTTTTAATCATACTAATGCAGTTGTAGTCATCCCAGAATGTGTATAATTGTATATTAATATGTATGTGTATCCTATTTTTTTTAAATAGTCTTTGAGCATACAATTGTCAAATCGAGTATGATTCTATTTCATAAATAATGATAAATTTCCTGTTAGTTATCAGTYTTATGAGGTATTCTACCGTATTGACGTATTAATAGGGTTTGATGGAAAACTAAATTTTAAAATCTACAGTTGCAAACTTCTAATAAAACTATTTGGTTTTCATTTGAATAAGCCTTGCAAACTAAATTTAACGTCATTCAATATTCTTTGAGAGATTTGTGTGAGATTTCCACATCGTTTTGTTTAAATTGAGCCATAATTGAAATGCCAAAMTCCAAATTAATTCACTGTTGGATGGAGGACTTGTAAGTGCCTACATAAATAAAAGCAAATGCATTTTAGATATGTCGGACTTGATGGATGCAAATTAATCTGCTCTAACTCCATTAGATTGCCATGCATGGTGATACAAATTTTACTATTTCTAATTAATCATGGTTAGTATATATATATATGCTTAGTTGAAATACTCTTATATCATAATTTACCATGTTTAATATCACCTATCATGTGTTAAGTTCATTAGTTAAGTTATTTAAATTATATGTAAACCTCACTAAAAGACGTCAACCATGTCCTTCATTACTTGAAAGGGCATCTTCCTCCGATATCAAAATTAATTTGCTAATTTAGTGTTGCCGATTGACATCATGTCCCAATAGGTCGATATATATATATATATATATATATATATACTATTTTATAAAGTATTTGGCTAAAACTTTTAAAAACTCTTAAAGACAACCTCTATTGCTAATGGTACCACCTATTAAAGCATCCATAAACTCGTTCATCCTTATCCAATTTCATCTCTATCCTATTTTATCGCCAACAGAAACCAAATTCCTTCCCTAACGATTTCATCCTGTCCGATTTCATCGCGAACAAATTTTGAAGAATAAGGATTCGATTTCATCCCTAACCCGTTTCGATTTCATAAACCCTAAACGATTTCATAAAACCTAAAAAAGTACAACTCGCTCCCTGATTCATCGCTCTCTTTACTCGAACTTATGCATAAGATACCTACAACCGGAAGTTGTCTTCCCAAGAGGTCGCTCCCGTCGTACGTCCCAAGCCCCAAGACGTCGATTCGATTTTCCTTAAGACGTCGATTCAATCTCCAAGGTGAGATTCATCGTTCAAAACATAATGTTATACGGTTGGGGTTCCACTCGATTCTTGATTCCATCTCCACTTCTGATTCGATTCTCGATCTCCAAGGTATGTTGATGACATTTTAACTTTCTTTCTCTTCTCTTCAATTTAACTGATTCTTTCAAAAATTCAAAAGGTTTCATGTTTTCTGTTAACGATTGGTTGAAATTATGTGCCAATTTGCAGAGATATTGGAATATACATGAGTAATTTTCTTCATCTCCATTTCGATCGTTTCGAGAAACTAGGGATTCCATTMACTGATTATGTAAGTAATTTTTTGTACAATTTGGGGTTTCAGTTAWAATTTGTGTGYTTGATGTCAACAACATCATAGAAATGCTTATATTTGTTATTGATGTTTAACATCACAAAATGCATAAATTTGTGCTTGATATCAACAATTTCAGAACATGTCTACTACATGTTTGATGAAATGCTTAAGAGAAATTCGTCTACTACAAAGTGTAGTTCACATGTGCATTTTTGGGTCTACCTTTTACTATGTTGTTGTATTAGTGATCATTATTTTTAATGTGCTTTGTTTGGAGAAGCAAACACCCTTTATCGTTTGTTCTTATTCGATTCATTTTTTAAGTTAATGGCAACAATTTGTGTTCCGTTGATGTACAATTTAAATCAGGTGGTTAGTCACGTGTAAAGCTACAAGCTTAAGGAGATACATCTTGCTGTTATTTTATGTGCCAAGCCTCTGAAACAGACGAGTATTTATGTCATATTTGCACACATCAACACCTTTCTCAACAAATGACTGATTTGTATAAGCTTCACAAACTGTCTTCGTAAAGTTTAACCTATTCATCATGCTCTATTTATTATCTATTTCTTGCATGCTTGATTGGCTGCAAATGTGTGCACTTGGCTAAACTTAAGTGCTATTTTTTCTTTTCCATCAAGTTACATATCACTTCTTTCACTGGAAGAAGGGAACACCCTTTGCTGATGACCAGGGCATCTACAACAGGTTGACTTGGTGGGAGCAAATTGATAGCGGCAAACAGCTCACTTGCAACAGGAAGTTTCTAACTGTTGTACCTGTGGTGCTGTAAGTTCTCTGAGTTTCTTAAACCTATAAGCAGGGTCTTGAAGCTCATATCATCACTGTTATTTTTTAGTATATCTGCGTATTGAATTTTTTCTGTTTTTCTTTCGATGAAGCGGATGGAAACCCTTGGAAAAATTCATATTGAGTTTTGTATGAGATATTTTGCTCTATGCATAATTGTAACTTGTAAGGTTGGCTTGCAAAAGAAATGATTTAAAGGAATCTGGACCAGGCTTTTGACAACTAATAAAGTGCCCAACAAATGCTTATTGCTTTGGAGTTGATGCAGGACTGTTTATTGAAAGATAATTGATGTGGGAAAATAGAAACAAATGGTGTAGGAGAAGGAACSRTTATCTTTTCATGAGAACGGCCATAAGATCCTAGCTCACACCATAACTTATGTTATTCTGTGATTACATCAGTATTGTTAAGAGAAGAACACGAAACTGTAGATCTGTTCGAACTAAAAAATTCTGTCACTTACTAATACAAATAAAGGTGAAGGGAACATATTGTAGAAAAAATAGAATTATAAGAAATATATCTTATTAGGAAGTAAATAAATATTGATTTATTTCCTATCGTATTACTTGATCGGAGTTGATCCCTTGCTTGYGTCCTGATCATGGAGGTTAGGAGGTCATTTGGTGCTAYTGTGTAATGATGCTTTCARTTATCTACTTMTGTCATTGTTGTCCACCACATTGAAGATTTAACTGATATTTTTACCATGATTTTTTGTTAATATACTTTGGTTGGTCAAATTGGACAAAAGAAGTTTTTAATTTATTATGGATTGAAGGTGCTTAGAGCAAGATACCTTTACCAATCTCTAACCCATGGGTCTTTTTCAAGCCTTTATACTGTTACCCCATATTGAATACACAAAAGGTGGCCAATGGAAACATTTCCCCATCAAAATAGCAGAACTCTTTTTTGTTTCAATATAATGGAAACACGAGTAATATTATAGCTATGGACAAACATTTACATTAAAATCTTCAACTCTGTTCACTCAAGTGTTTGGAACTAGAACTGATGCATATAGTTGATTTATTTTGTCAAAGAAGACATGAATTTTTATTGATATATATAGTTGTTAAAAGCATCATAATAAGGTTTTTGATTGTGGTTGAGAATTGAGATGTCATTGTTTCCTGTTCTGTTTAGGAAGAACATTTTACTTTTCTTTTCCTTTCTACGTCATACTGAGCTCTGGATCACACAATAGAAGTTAATATATTTTACTTTCTTCATTGAAACTCTTTTTAGTTAGTTGTTTCTCAAGAAAGGAGAGTTATTTGAAAAGGTTTTCATCCACACGAGATGAATGTCAATTGCCACTATCAAGATCTTCCACTGGTCTAATCTAGATCACACTTAGGGGCCGTTTATCAAACACTTACCCGGTAAGTGCTTACCGGTAAGATTTAACACTATTATGTACTTACCGGGTAAGATTTTAGTTCAATAAAATGACATAGTATACAACAATTTACCTGATAAGCGCTTAC